CTCTAGCCCTTCGTAATCGATCTCAACCCGTCTCCTGCAGTACCTAACCAAATCGATCGGCCTCAGACAGTCCACCCAGTTGGTAATGTCTAAGACCCCACCTCACACAAATAGCACAGTATACTTCCTTAAAACGGGGCGCTAAGCCCTCCCAGAGCGCGTAAAGTGTGTGGTCCACTGCTCTGCTTAAACGATTGACGCTCCCATAGGTCTGCCCTATCACGAAAGTAGGAAGCCCGAATCGGCAAGCCTCTCTCGGGTAAAGGGTCGAATGCGGTGGACCGTATACTAAGTGACTCGAACTTATCCTGCCTCCAGAGCGTCTCGCCACTTGCTGATTAACGATCGCTCTGGCCAATAACTCGCGCTTTCACCAACTCCTGCTCGCTCCTGCAAGTGTTAGTCCTATCTCCAAATCGTACGCTCTGTCAGCCAGCAGATGTCCGACCCCTTCTAGATCATGAGTCCTCTCAGGTCGTTCGTCTCGTAGTATCACCGTCCAGAGGAACAGCCCCTCTGCGAGCCACGTCCCCAAGTGTCGTATCGGCACTCGCTCCGTCCCTTCCAACGCCACAGGAAGGGGTATGTCATATCCAATCGCCGTCTCTCTGGGTCCCACAAGCTTTCTCACATTATATGATTCGGACTCTCGTGAGAGAACATAGGCTAACCAGGCTACCGAGTCACTTCTCATCTCCTCTCCTGTTCTCGATCTGTAGTACTCTAATCCCTCCGACGCACCCTATCTCTCGATGCTGCCGACTCTTCAGACAACTCTCCCAYTCAGATCCAGTATGGCTGAGTAGGAGTTGTGCACTCTCCCGTCAGCTTCATGGTAGTAGATGGTGAACTCGACGTACCTCTGGCTTCTCCGTATCTCCAGAGCATGCTCCGTCATGAGTCTGACCTGTCGCTCAACATTCCTTAGCGCTTCATCCTCCCAACCTCCTGTCCTATCTTGTCGTAGGGAAAGAGTCACCCTCAGTATATCCCGGTCTKCCATACTCTCCACTACTCGCTGATATCAGTAGCCAAGGCTCACTCAACCGCCGTCCTAATATGCTCCTCAACCTCCTATGCCAGAACTGCTACTCCTATCCTGGGGAAATGGGCGTCTGTAACGTCAATCCCCTCCTCGTCAATCTCATTCTCCGGGTCAACCCAGTCCGGCCCCCAGACGTCCTCGTCGCCCTCTCGCTCCCATCCTCCGTCGTCAAACTCGTCCTCGACTCGGTATGGGGCCTGTCCTATATCTTGATAGTATTGGGCCAACTGGTGGCCGTATATCAGAGGTCGCTCGGCGTTCTCACCCCACCAGCTCTCCCAGTCATCTGAGAAGAGCCGCCCGATGTAGGTCACGTACTCGGGTCCTGCCCGGAGCTCACGGTCTAGCCAATCCCAAACGCACGGAGACTGGGGCCACTCGTCGTCTATCGAGCGGATCAGCTCTATAAGCTGAACCCTCTCGTCTCCCCAACGAAGTCCTCCGGTCGCGAGTGAATAAAAGATGTAGCTTAAATCTGTAGCGCTCCTCGCCAGGATCTTGAGATCCTGATAGGCCAGGTATGTCTCCACTACTCCACCAATTCCTTCAAAAACGCTCTCTACCACGAACGCCGGAACTACCGCTCGCAGGCTCCTAACACTGTACGGGAAAAACCCGTCCCGTGTTACCACCAGCTCGCCCGAGATATCAAGAGGAGGGCGCCCGTGAAATAAGGTCAACGGGTCGCTCGAGTCCTCTGCTCGGAAGGCAGCTACCTCGTCCTCTAGGTAGCGTAACACGCTGCTAACCGTGCCACTAGTCCCTGTCGTCACGAGGCCCACTACAGCCTCCCTGATCGCATCCGGTCCTAAATACAAGTAGGCTCTCACTACGCCTACTCCTTGCGCCGGCCGGTGCTCCCTGTACGTCCAAAGCCACGCGTCCT